GAATATTGTCTGGGTCCCATAACTGGTGTTTGCTTACTTCATACACATATCCTAGAACTATTTTTACTGGCACCTCAATTTCAGATGGCTCCTCTGCCTGTGAAGGGGGGCTCCAGTCTGGGAACCCCCCCACCCTTTTTGCAAAATGTCATTTGGTTTTTGTACACAAGAAGACTTCAACCAGTATTATTGGTTATTTTAAATGTTCATGCCTCAGCACTCCTCTGACTGCTGTCTACATTTGCATTTAATTATTTATTTAACAAAAAGAAATCCTTCAGCAGAGCCTTTGGTGATTTTTTTTGGCTGTTTCCTTGGTACCTTATCCTCCTATTCACATTAGTGTTTTTCAGCTCTCTTTCTCCTTTTTAATGAAGCTTTTTTGATCTCTGTCCTCAAAAAACTTTCAAGCTTTATTAAGCACTGGCACGAAGAGCTGTGACCTTTGCTTTTGCCTATTATACCCCATTATAATAATATTCAACAGTAAGTTCTGAGTGATGTTCTCCAAATAGCTTAGTTATATCAGTTTTCAAAGGAGAATAAAATATTTTATTTTCTATCCTAGCTTTCTCTCCCATTATTAGTTTCAGCTTGTGCTATGTCCATGTCTAGATTTTGAGGGAGAATATATGATCCACCTAAAGTGTTATCAGACGCATTGCTTTTGAGATGACCTTTATTCCTTGTCCATGCTACCTGTGATTCACCTTCAAGGACTTCTTTGCTATCTCTCCAGGGTTCACGCAGGTAATTAAGTAGCTGAATATGGTGGTGTAATTTAAGTCTATTTGAAATTCTGAGTCTGGGGTTTTTTATTTACTTAATTCATCAAAATAACCTAAAGAATGCAATTGTATAATTGCAATGGAAATGCAGTGCATACAGTTCAGCTTCCTCATCTTTATTTGATTTGCTTGTATGGGTGCTTGTGATGTCACAGGTGTCTGAGTAGCTGATAGGGCAGGAGCAGGCTTAAGGAGCAAACGGTGTTTTGCAGTACTCGATGAACTGCGGCTGATCACTGTACTTGTTCAGCAGTGTATGGAACAAAAGCAAAGGTAATAGTATAGATATCATTAAATTAAAGAAAAAATATGACTGACCCGCTTGTCATGTGGTGGCAATTTCTTAGCCCTCTTGCCTCAGTAGTTTTGGTAAAACCAATTTTTTATTAACAAAAGGTTTGTCAGCATGGGTCTGTTTCACATAAGCTTTAAAAAAGCAGTCTGAGTTTGCATGCTTTTGGAGGCTCAGAGTTGAGATTTGTTTTGTGTGCACCCAAACTCTACATTTATTAGGTGTTTAGGTGCAAACCTCGTGTTGTGTGACTTACAGACCAGCAGTCTTTGGTCTGCAGTCTTTGGACTTCAGTGGCACAAAACATGCACAGGCATTGCGCATGATCAGCTCTGGTTTTCAGAAGGTGCGAATGTATATGTTCATTGCCAACCGCTCAGAAGGACTGCAGAAGTTGTGGTGAGGACTTTTTGACTCTAGTCATAGAATCATAGAATTGTCTAGGTTGGAAGAGACCTTTAAGATCATCCAGTCCAACCATCAACCTGACACTGCTAACATCACTACTAAACCATGTCTATAAGCACCACGTCTTTTAAATACCTCCAGGGATGGCAATTCCCTGGGCAGCCTGTTCCAATATTTGATAACCCTTTCGGTGAAGAAATTTTTCCTACTATCCAATCTAAATCTCCCCTGGTGTAACTTGAAGCCATTAGTCGTAAAGCCCTGTTTTTGCTGGGTCTTCCTCAAGTATTGCTTGCGGGATATTCTGATGCTCAGCA